CTTTAAGTTTATATGCAAATTAACTTTAAAAAACATGTTTACTTAATGCACCAGTCCCGGTTTGATTAATAAAATTTCGAACTGCATAAGTCATAACATTTCCGATTATTAAAATGACCATAAGGTGGTCAGATGTTTATGGTAGGGGAGTGTATGTTAGATAGATGTAATGATAAAATTATTGATATCAAAAAATAGATAAATGCCAAAGGGAAATATTAAACGATTTCTCAAAATACTTATTTTGTTACACATTAAAATCGCATGTTTTTGAATTTTGATCAGTTGCCTTTGGAAATAAATGGTTTAGAAAGTCAAAAAAAAAATTATTTACCTAGTACAATAATTGTGTGAAATGGCTCCACACTTTACTTCTCGTTTTTCTTTGAACAGATTGCACTGTGGCCGTTGAAGAGGCATCATTTTCAGCGATGCGATTATTGTCATTCAATAGTTACATTTATTATTTAAATTTAAAACAATGAATTTTGCAATACAAACCCTCGTTTCAACGAGCTATAATTAAATTCATTAAATTCGCGTTACAACGAATTTTAAATTTTTACATTCGTTGAAACAACGCGATTAGTAATTTGGTATAACGAATTTTACTTTTAGATTCGTTGAAATGAGATTTGACTATCAACAAACAAGAATTTTAAAATTCTCTATCAATTAAAATTTTAGGGATCCGGTTTGATTCGAATCAAATCGAACCAATCCAGTTTTTGGAATTCGATTCGTTTTGAGTCGTATTTCTTGCCTGGACGGATCATTTAATTTAAGGTGAGGTTTTCTTAATCATGGAGACAACTGCATTTATTCATGACCAACAACAATTGTAAAACCTTCTTTTTTGGAGCTGTATTTTTGATTAACCTTCTGTCGTTAGTAGTCAAAACAAATTACAAGAAATTGATTTCTTTTACTCGCTCAGTAATTCAATTACTGACGGTTATTCAAAATTAATAATAGATTTACTCGGCATGAAATTGTTGGTCCTCCTAATTATGAATGTCGGTCGTATTTCTTGCTTAGATGGATCTTTTAATTTAAGGTGAGGTTTTCTTCATCAAAATCCAACTCCTAATAATCAAAACGCGGGGGGTGATGACCCTCAACAAGAATTTGAATTCTTTTACTCGCTCAGTATTTCAATTACTGATGGATATTACGGTTATTCTAAATCAATAATATGTCATTCGGCATGAAATCGTTGGTCTCCTCATTATTAATATCGATCGCGTTCTTTTTGACATAGATTCATTGGCCTCCCTCTATTTTCCATATATATATATTTATATTTTTTCTCCAAACATGTGCTTGTGTATATTATAATATATTAATTATAAAATAAATAAAGTGTATTAAAAAAGAGTTTTAATAAAAAAGATGGGCGACATTGATTGCCCATATTATTAGTTATCCTGTAAATGGCAAGGTGTGTTTCCATTCATTGCTTGAAATTTTAAGTTTACGTTTTATACCCTTAGGTTTAAACTCTTCAAATATGCAGCTGTTCTTTTGTGGTTTTTGACTCGCTTGTAAATGGTCTCTTATAAAGGTTAAAATCGGATGGTTTTGCCAAAGGCAAAACCAAAAAAAAAAAGGACAAATGCCAGCGACAAAAAGCTGCAATCTGGTTTGAAGCAATCTGAAACAAATGATGCAAATATGTATGCACATTTGTGAGTATAATTAAATGTTGTGTATGTAATAACACCATTTAGGTTGACAAATGCCAGTGACCAAAAGTTGCGCGATCTGCTTCAAAAACTTCATATTGCTTCAAGCCAGACGGCAGCTTTTGCACTGAAGGACGTGAATTATAAATTATTATAAATAAAAGTTTTTTTTGTAAAAAAATGTTTGTGTGTTTATATTGTATGTGTTGTGTAAAGTGAAATAGCTCATGTTATAATTTCGTGTGTTTGTTTGTTTGTATTTGATAAAAAAAGATGATTGTACATCTTTACATCTTTACAAATTATCTATCTTGTGAACTGGTAATAATTGTTGACAGTTTCTTCATTATATTGTTCCAGATCCTCAGCCTTAATATAACTACCAAATAATCAATCTTTAACCTAATAGTGTTTATTGGGTGCCCCTAGCTCTTGAATCACGTGAAATTTTTATGACAACCTTTTTGTAAAATCTAAATTTTTCAACGATTTGAAACATATTAAAGATGATTAATAAGAGTTATATAAGCAATTTTTTTGAGCGCGTGCTTCAAACATACTCTGTTAATAAATCAAACTATTTATGGTGTAATGTAATCTTTAAAAGCATGATTGAAATGCGTTTCAAGCAGATATTAAAAATATTAATCAATCGAAGCAAATTAACATCCATACTCATATTACTACTTTTAAGAATGAATAAAAATTTTTTTTAAACATGTTTTATAATATGGGACATACTGCAACAAAACCAGACAAAGTGAACATGCATAACTACAAAGGATTTCAAGGTTTCAAAAATTTTAGTCAACGTGACCATGATTGTATTATTATTTAACACTTGTAAAAGATTACTCAAAACCCGTAACACTGCTTTTTTCCTTACTTGGGATAGATTGTATGATTTTGGTTTTGATTTTTTTTGTAAATTAAATTTGTTGTTTGCCTATATATATTTGTAAATGAACAGTGGTACGGGAAATATAGAATGGTCTCTCATGCTCACTTGCACATCCTCGATTACAAAACTTGTTATTATAGGTATCAAATTTATTGATAAACAAAAATACACTATAAATTTCAAATCACAAGAGGTAGATATTACAATACTCCTTTGAAAAAATTATTGCTATTGTGATTCTGAAATAATTTTATTTTAAAAAATTTCATAGTTAAGTGTTGACTTGAAATTTTGATAGAAAGTAATAAGGAAATTTATCCATTATGTGAAAAATAGGTCCTGGTAAAACAATGGTTAGTGGAAGGGAGCATACAATTGCTAAAGATGCACCTATATATTTAGGAAAACAAAAATAACCAATTACAAAATCATTTATACATAAATATACACATACAGCATACACACATGTTACCCACCCTATCGATTCTTAATGTTTAGACCCTCCAAGGCCAAAGCCTGTAGTGTCATAGATACTTCTGCTTCTTCATCTTCGTTTGCATTAGCTTTTGTAAAAAAAAAAAAAACAATCAATAAATTATTTTAGATAGAAAATAATAGTAATGAGATAAAATTTGTTACCATCATCTCTTTTTCTGAAATCATTTTTATCATCAATTGATTCAACGCCTTTTTTTTTTTTGGATTGTTTTTGTTCTGGTTGCTCAATCATAGTAGGATCCAAAAACTTTAGCTTTAATGTTGGATGTTTTGCAAATGTTACATGACCACCCCATAGCCATGAAGGAATTGTACGTGGTATCTCAATTTCGGCTGAAAATTTTTCAATGAATTCACTTTCTTCACCTGATATTACTCCACCACGAAGATATCTATTAGAAAGAAAGAGGGAGGATATGAATAAATAAGCATAGTTGATTATTTTTTGGTGAAAATATTTTCACTTTCACCTTAAAAATTCTCCCATAGCAGAAGAAACACTCCACATTTGTAATTTCCTTAAACATGCAATGACTAAACCTGTTACATTGGCACCATCTAGACAATGAATAAAAATAGGTTGATTTGATGGATCTATTATCGTCTATAGTATATAATAATAATAATATTATTATTATTAATGTTATGAATATTATATTATTAACTTGTTACTTGTCAGTTATTCAATAATTATAAAAACTTTACTTGTATTGAATAAACAACTTTATTGTAACTTAATGTCACATTATCTTTAAATCTGCCGACTTGTAAATGCATGTTACGAATATTTTGAGATCGACAAAACTCCAAGAGGTCAGGAATTGGCTGTTCTGGTATTAATGAAAGAATTGTTTTTAATTTTAATCTAAGGTAATGGAAAAAAAAAAATTAGAAAATATACGTTCCTTTCTAGAAAAAATCAATGTCTTATTATTTAATTTTTTATATATAAAATCAAAACCTTTTTAAAAAACGGTAATTCCTATCTTTTGGATATGCACCACGATAAATTTTATCCTCAACAGTCGCATAACGAAATGGTGGAATTATCGGCGAAAGCATTTAATTCGTTTGATTCAAATTGTTTTTAATTAATTAACAAAAAAAAGATTAAACATTTGCCGTGTCACGATCTCCTTCCAAAACTCGCAAGTCGTGCGACTTCCGCGCAGTTT